ACCAAACCCGTTGCCATCGAGTTGATTCCAACTTATAGTGACCCTGTAGGACAGAGTAGAACTGCCCCATAGGGTTTCCAAGGAGCAGCTGGTGGGTTCAGACCGCAACCTTTTTGGTTAGCAGCTGAGCTCTTAACTGCTACGCCACCAGGGCTCCAGTGATAGCCATGATTATTATAATAGCATTTGTTATAATAGCACCCACATGTGGAGCACTCACTATGCATTTTCCATGCATTGTCTCATTCATTCTTCACAACACTGTGACATAACAAACACTACTGTCCTCCCTTTGCAGAGGAGGAAACTGAGACGCAGAGATGACGTAGTTTACGTGCTCAGGGTCATCCGGAGACAGCCAGTGTGCCTGTCTCCAAAGCCCTTCATCTTAATCGTTGCCTCCTAGGCTCCCACCAGGCTCTCTTTTGGTCTCCATCTTGCTTCTGCATCGTCGGTTGTAATCCAGAGGGCTTGGGGTGCTCTGATAGTGACACCTCTCTTTCGATTCCCTGGCCCCAGCTGCCCGGGAGCAGCAGATCATAGAGAAACAGAAAAGAGCCAAGCTCCAGTATGAAAAGCAAATTGAGGAGCGATGGCGAAAACTGGAGGAGCAGCGGCAACGGGAGGATCAGAAGAGGGCCGCCGTGGAAGAAAAGAGGAAGCAGAAGCTCCGGGAGGAGGAGGTGAGGCCCCGGAACCCACCCTAGCCTTCGAGCCATCGCCATGGCCCCCACAAGGCTTTGTGCTCAGGGAGGCTGGGTAGATGCCCAGCTCTGGGGTATGAGATCTGGGGTATGAGCCTTCTCCCTGGTGGCTTCCAGCAGCATGATGCCAGACAGTGGAAGCAGCTCTCGAATAGGAACAGAGACTTGTCCATCAACTCAGGTGTTAATTTGCTGTGTGACCTTGGGCAAGTTGGTTGGCTTCTCTGGGCTTGCTTGTCTCTGAAGTGAGGAGGTCAGATTTAGTAGTCTCCAAGGCCTTTTTCCAGGTCTAACCTTTTCTGATTCTAAGTGAAGATTTGTAGGTGGTTGCTAATAGAGACTTGGTGATGTAGGTCTGGGGTTTACAGCCTAAATGAAGACTGGGAGGAGTTATTGACAGGAACTTGGTGGTATAGACCTGGGGGTTACAGCCCAAGTCAAGACTGGGAGGGAGTTGTTAATAGGGACTTGGTGGTGTAGGCCTGGGGGTTTCAACCGTGAATCTGTGCCTCCATGGCATATACAAGAAGAGGGTCACAGCCTGGGCATCCCTGCCTCCAGGGCAGATGTAAGGCCGGAGGAGAACTTTGGAGATAGAGAATAATATGCTCCTCAGACACCGCTGGAAAGTGGAAGTCTCCCTTCAAATATAAAGATGCTAGTATTTTTAGATTTTAATGTAGGACTTTGCTTTAATTATCTTTTCTCTGCAGTTCTCTTTTTAAAAAGATACAGAATATAACTACCCTTACAGAGTCCTTTATTACGAAACTTTGAAAATATATTTAGAAAGCATATTAGGAATATAGATTTTCTTAACACGTGTATTTTATGGATGCAATCGTAGCCTTGTATCAGGTGGTGATCATTTTTTATTCATAAGGTATAATGACTCATCTTTTAGTATGAGTAACAAAAATTTGTTACTTGCCAACACTATTGTACACTATTGGGTACAAAGACGTATAAATTTAGTATTTTTAAAAACTATGAACAGTTTATCACTGCGTATCTCCCCTTCTTCTTTTGACTTAAAAAACACACACACATGTGCACACACACATATGATTCAACCCATCTTTGCCCAAGAAGCAACTGTTTTCAGTGGTGCTTTCTTTGTTCCTCTTAGGGAATGAAGGCCTAAATGAGAGGCTCAGCCCTGGTTCACTGTTGCAGGCTGCAGTCTGATAGCTGTGGCTTCATCTGTTCCTGGTTCAAATCCCAGCTCTACTACTTAGCAGCTGCTAACCAAGGGCGAGTCACATAACCCTCTAACTGCCTCCTCATCCCAACACAGAGAATACCACCACCCGCCTCCCAGGTTGTAACGAGAGGCAACAGAGGTGACTTTGGGGAAAGTGCCCAGCCAAGCGCCAACACAATAATCACTCTGAAATGTTAGATTCCCTTCAGTTCCTTCGGCTGACTTTTGCTGAAGCAAGGTCAAGAGGGAGCTCCTGGAAAAAAGTATGGCACGGAGTCTATAGACTAAGACAAATGCTAGCTTGTGAGACGCTGTTGCAGTACCTTAGGACAAATTGCTCCTCTCCCAACCTGTGTGTGCATGTCCTGAGTCACCGGCCTCGCCTTCTTCTTCCTGTCCTCCAGGACTTGATGACTTAGAGCTTGTCCCCTTCCTCTCCAACATCCTGCAGGATTGCTGATTCAAGGGAAAGCTAGTCGCTGCTGCTTCCAGGAAGGGGCACCGTGAAGTCTCGTTAGATACTTGCCAAGCCTCTGGCACATCCTACAGTGTCACAAGGGTCAGCCTTTGAGACACTGTCTATGATAATTCTTTTTTTTTTTACATAACATTAGTGTTGGAGGCATCTTCTGTTACACAGTTACACTCCCCTCCCCCTTCTTGAACATGAGGAAATGTCATGCCCCAAGATGGTTGGTCCTGATGCCATTGAATCTCTGCTGTCTTAGCTTCCAGAGACTTCTTTGTTTGGTTTGTGCACTTCCCTTTCACCCCTTACGTGGTGTGTGTGTGTGTGGGTGTGGGTGTGGGTGTGGGTGTGTGGGTGTGTGGGTGTGTGGGTGTGTGTGTGGGTGGGTGTGTGGGTGTGTGGGTGTGTGTACACACATGTGCACTGTCTGGCTGTGCTGAGCAGACACAAGCCAGACTCGCTCTTTCCCCTCCTACCCCTGCTGCCCAGGCCCAACAGGGCATGGCTGACAGTGGGGCCTCCTCTGGTTGTGTGGCAACCTAGGGGAGCAGCAGCCTCCCTCTGCCACCTGCTCCCACCCTTGAGTCCCCAGGAGACCCGGGAGTAGCTTAGGGACTTTCCACAGCCCTGGCTGGCCTGTTAACCATGTCGGTGGCCGCGCTCTGCCTGCGTGGAGTCCTGTATGGTGTTCTCACAAGTGACCTTTGGGGAGGATGAATGGATAGGTGTGCAGCTCAGGAGCCCCTTTCCAGGGGCACCCCCTGTGGTTGCCACTGCTTCACTGGTGAGTCCTGGGAGGACTGCTCCTGCTTAGTGGGCAGCTGTGGAGCTTCTCTATCCTGTCAGTGCCAGATTGCTTCTTGGTCAGGGAGAAGGGCAGGCATCTGCAGGAAGAGTTCACCCTTTGCAGCCGATTTTGCTTCTCTAGCCTGTCGGAAGTTGTGTGTGTATTGCCCACTAAGGCCTGCCTCTCTGGGTCCAGTATTTAGGAGCTTATGGGAGGCCTGTTGATGGCCACCACCTCCCCCCTTCCCCCTCGCCCCTGCAACCCCAGGTCTCCAGCCCTGCCCTGGCTCCATGTCCCTGCTGTTGCCATGATGTTGCTCTTGGTAACTCCTCACTTCTTTGGAGGTGAGACCAGGAAGCTCCTTGTCTGCAGAGGGAGATCTGGCCATCACAGACGGCCTGGCTCCTAGAGCTCTCGAGAACTGGGGTGGATGGAAGCTGGGCAGGCAGACCCCGACCTTGAACTTGTTCTCTTTCCGGAGGTTCCCTTCTCCCCAGGGTGGATTCCTCCAATGCTCACATGCCATACCACCCCCAAGAATTGAGCCTCTGGAACAAACTTGTGTCACTCAGCCTGGGGTAGGGTGGACAACAGTGTGTTTGCATTCTCCACTTGGAGGAGGAGAGGTTCCTGACTAGTGACCCTGGAAAATGGGATTTTGGGAACAGCATGTTCCTCATGCTGAGGAGATAATCAGGAAAGGCCTCTTTCAAAGAGTAGCATAAACTGTACAGATTTTTTTTATTGTGCTTTAGATGAAGGTTTACAGAGCAAATTAGTTTCTCATTAAACAATTAATACATATATTGTTTTGTGACATTGATTGCCAACCACGTGATGTGTCAACACTCTCTCTCCCCTTCTCAACCCCATTTCCATTCATCTAGCTTTCCTGTCCCCTCCTGTCTTCTCGTCCTTGCCCCTGGGCTGGTGTGCCCATTAAGTCTTGTATACATGGTTGAGCTTTGTGTGTTATTGTTTGTTTTATAGGCCTGTCTAATCTTTGGCTAAAGGGTGAACCTCAGGAGTGACTTCAGTACTGAGTTAAAAAGGTATCCAGGGTCCATTCTCTCCAGGTTTCTCCAGTCTCTGTCAGACCAGTAAGTCTGGTCTTTTTTTGTGAGTTTGAATTTTGTTCTCTGTTTTTCTCCAGCTCTGTTGGGGACCCTCTATTGTGATCCCCATCAGAGCAGTCGGTGGTGGTAGCCAAGCACCATCTAGTTGTACTGGGCTCAGTCTGGTGGAGGCTGTAGTAGTTGTGGCCCGTTAGTCCTTTGGACTAATCTTTTCCTTGTATCCTGTTCTCTTCATTCTCCCTTGCTCCTGAAGGGGTGAGACCAGTGGAGTATCTTAGATGGCCACTCATAGGCTTTTAAGACCCCAGATGCTGCTTACCAAAGTAGGATGTAGAACATTTTCTTTATAAACTATGTTGTGCCAATTGAAATAGATGTCCCCTGAGACCATGGTCCCCACAGCCCTCAGCCCAGTAATTTGGTCCCTCAGGGAGTTTGGATGTGTCTGTGAAGCTTCCGTGACCTTGCCTTGGTCAAGATGTGCTGATTTCTCAGTATCGTTCTGCAGATTATTTTTGACACATCAGAACTTCTCATGCTCTTCTTGCTTGGTACCTAAGAAAACCCGCCAGGCTGCCGGTAAAGTGGGAGATTTCTGAACTCACTTATCTAACTCTCACTGGGCACTGGCTGGCCACATGGCCTCCTGGTCAGATGTGGACATCTCATTGTGGAGAGAAAGGCTTCCACAGAGCCCTGCTGAGGGCCATCGTGAGGGGCTTGTCTCTGCGCTGTCATCACCGGAATGCATGCAGTAATTCTGTGGATGAAAGCACAGCCACCCCTCCACACCTGCCAGAGACGGCTGTCTGGGTGACAGTGCCTGGGCTATAGCCTGCAGGAAGCCTTTTAGACTGCTTGGCCTGCTCAGCAGCCCTCCTGATCGTGGTTCTCCCCTGAGTTAATTCCAGCTATCTAGAGCCAGAGCTCAAGGGATCCCAGGTTGAGCCGAAGATGGCCCGATTGTGAGGCCCGCTCTTTCCTTCCTCTAAGCCCCAGCCAATAGCGGATGTTCTAGGGACAAGAATTCACCTTGTCCTTTCCCCATCATCTATTGATCATCAGATGATACTCATGAGAACCAGACCTTGGCAGGAATTTCAGTCTGCAGCATGCAGTTCGAATATATTAATACTGTTGTCCTGATGTGATTGAACTTTCTCTCTTTCTCTCTCTTGTGCTCAGCCTTTCCTCTAACCAGTGGTTCTCAGAGTGTGGTCTCAGGACCAGCAGCATCAACATCACCTGGGAACCTGTTAGAAATGCAGATTATCAGGCCCTATCCCGGACCTGCTCTGGTGATAAGCCCCAGATATCTGTGTTTTAACAAGCCGTCCAGGCGATTCTGAGGGCACAAGTTTGAGAACCTCTGCTTTAAAGTACCCAGTTAATAATCGTCCTCTTCAAATTCAAATTCAGATTCAGTTAGCATTGGTTAAGGACTTACTAAGCCAGCTACTATGTCCAGCATTCTCCTGTAGACTTAGAGTGGTCTGGTGATGGAGGTACAGCCCTATTTTATAGATGACGAAACTGAAGCCCAGGCAGGTTAAATGATTAGCACAAGATCACAGCTGAAGAGTGGCAGAACTGGGATTTGAATCCATATGTCCTGACTCCAAATCTAGGATTCTTTCCATTCCATCACATGAAGCAGCAGCAAAATACACACAGTGGGCAATACTGACCTGTACAGGACTGACCTCAGACAAAAGAGTAAACTGGACAAGTTTTAGTTTTGACATGTTCCAGTCTCCCCATTCTGACTGCTTAGGGTTTCATAAGTCCCCTTCCTGTAGAGTTTGGTTGCCACCTGTTTTTCATCATCTCTCCAAAAAGGGCTGGATGATAAAAAGCGATTGTGTCTTTCTCTCAGGGAGAGCTGCATTTTCATAAGCATACTCAAGGCCCAAAGGAATGAATCTCTGATGGTGGATTTGAAGCAGTTCAGTGGATTGGAGGTGGGAGGCAGAGATATTTTTGTGAGGGTAACTGAACAGTCTAGGCTGAGAATGTCTTTATGGTCGAGCCCCATAGATGGTTGTTCAGTGATAAGGCTGGTCCCGTGAGTCTCAGTGTGGTTTGTTCTTATTGGTCCCTTCGTGGTTGAGAGACTGTCGGGTGTGGTCCTTCTGGCATGTAGGAAATCCACCATAGCCCACCCATACTGGGCTCACTCTAGGCTGAAAGATTTCAACGCTTAAAGTAGGTCATCAGTTAAATACTTTATGTTGAATCCATATAACGAATGACTAGTCAGCCCTAGTCTCAGGTGACCATACTTCAGGCACCAAACGGTAGGGAAGTTCTCTTCCTTCCAAGCCCTACCTTTTCCAGGGCCGACTCTGCTGGGGTTGGCAGTCAGCATTTAATGGCCCCGGCTTGTGAGGCTGGGGCTCTGCCAGGAAATGCATACCCATGATTGTAGAGTCTCAGGCCAAAAGCTAGCAAATACAAACCTGTGACTTCAAGGAGGAAAAAAAATCCCCCTTTCTGCTCCCAGGTCCCTCGAGGCAGTCTCTTAGCAAAGTGCTCCTCAGAGAAAGATTACACAGAGGATGGAGGCTGAGATACGGAGAAGCAAAATGCTCTCCTTATCCTTCTGGATGTAGACAAAAGGAATACATGGGCACAGTTCCTAAGTGACTTTTATTTGTTTCTAGTCAGCAAAATAAAGGAGCCTTTTTCCAGATCCTGAAGTGTTGGTTCCTCAGTTGATGCTGCTCCAGAGTAGTTTTGCTTGCTTTTTTTTTTTTTAAATTATGAGAAAATAGCATCTTTTTGCTTTGGAGTCAAGCTAGGATTAGCCCAGTTCCTGGAGCACCTCAGGGTTTGGTTTGATGAGGGTTAAGGGTGTCAGGGTCAAGTTTACCTTGCTTCTGGCCTTCTCCAGTGGAGCCGGGTGGAGGATTTGGTATTTGCTGTGTCATGGGGTCAGGTGGAGCGGGCAAGTCCTGCGGAATTAGAACAGCTTCACTCTGATGCCGAGGATATATTTGCCAGCTTTTGGACCCAGCTTTTTGAAAGTAACAATTTGGTGAAAACGAGAGAATGCTTTTGATAAATCTTCTGTGAAGAGAAACCTGCTTGTTGCTTGTCTCTTCTGGTTAAAATTGTTTAATTCTTTTTTTCTCCCACCTACCCATGGATGCTTTATTTTGGGGCCAGAAGGTTCCATACTCTCTTTTAAATTTTGAAATATGCAGTAGTATCTCCAGAATACTCTGTAGCAGAAAAGTATTAAAATATAGAGAACAATGGATTCCCCTTTAAGAAGGTCTAAGATGGATGGTTGAACAAAATGATAAACAGTTCATGTTACTGAGTTGTACATGTGAAGAAGGTTGAAGTGGCAGATGTTTTGTTACATATATATTTACCACAATTTTAAAAAATTTTAAAAACAAGTTCTAAGATGAAGATGGGACTTTGCATAATAGATCTCAAAGTCATATGTCATACCCCAAAAAGTCATGCTTAAGGCTACAGAAACTCAAATTATATTTCAGTTTAATTTTTCTCAAATCAGAATGTTTTCTGCCTTTAAGAAGAGTGGCTGCTGATGGTTCTGGAACAAAATTCCAGTTCGCCAGGCGAATGGTTGGAGACAGGCCTCAAGGAGTTAATGCTTGTTTGGCATTATTCTTAAACAAATTAAGGCTTGGCTCAGCAGCAGCTTCTCCCCAGGGAGGGGACAGGGAGGGGGCCCCCAGCCTGTGCTGTTGACTCTCCGCCCATTCAGAGCACACTGGTGGCTCGGCCACACGTGGGCCAGGTTTTCGGTGCAGTGGGCCTTGGTGCCGCCGCACAGAAAGCCCCATTCGGTGGCTCTTGCAGCACTAAGGTGCGGCAGTGCAGTGGGCTGGGTGGCTAATTTTGTTCTCTGTCGACGCATCACTGCGTACCCTGGGCAGGAGCGGCTGGAGGCGATGATGCGCAGGTCCATTGAGCGCACACAGCAGCTGGAGCTGAAGAAGAAGTGCTCCTGGGGAGGAACGCTGGCCGCAGGGTCTGGAGGCCGCGACGGTGAGTGCAGGGGCTGGCCCGCATTGCAGGGCCAGGGGGCGATGGGGGCAGCGCCCACAGGAGAGCTTTACATAGACTTAAGGGTACCTTTTTCAGATGGGAGGTTTAAACCTGCCCAGTTTCCTGCGTATGCGTTTCTTGGGAAGGGATCTGTACATTTCTGTTGCCATAACTGGGCTTTAAGGGAGAGCAAAATGCCCAGAAGGCTAATGTAAAAAGCAAAGAAAGTGAATTACAGACCTGGTTAAACACCCCCTGGCAGGCCCGGGGACACTGTCATGTCAGGGACGGTAGGTGGCAGAGGCTCTGTCACCGCCAGACATGACCTGGGAGGCAGAGCAGCAGTTTCCGTGTTTTCCCTTTTCATTAATTTTTGTTACTCTTTCCATTTTGTTTCAAGGTGACTTATTTCATTATCCATCCTTAAATTTGCAAAGGTTTAATTTAACATGTGGAGTGTTACTAGTCTCTGGGTGGCTCTCTTCCCTTTTCTTCAGTGTCTGACTGCATTTCAGTAATCTCAGTGTTCTGCTATGCGGGAGTTGGGTAGGAGCTCTTTCTGAGAGCAAATGGGTTTAAGTTTATAGTATAGTTTCTTGACTTGGCTGTATTGTGCTTTTAATGGTATATTGTATGTTTTGGCAGTGAATATCCGTTTTTCTTTTTTAAGACATCAACAACCCATTTTAGTTACTTTTACAGTTTTCCTAATTAAAAACTACATAACAACAAAAAATGGGATCTTTTTTCTTTTACCTGTCTTTGCTCTGATTTCCTGCTGTATAGGTGAATCAGAAAATACCCCACCCCCTCCTGTAGGTTTAGCAGCCAGCACCCTCCCTCCGGACCCAGGGACCCCTGCCACTTCTGCTGAGGCCACCAATGGTATATCCGAACATTGCCGGGCCGTAGCATTTTGTCATAACTGTTCTAATCACGCTTCTCCATCTCCAGCGTGTCTGTGTCAAGCACTTTTACAATGTATTTCTTAGTCTGAACCATTATCACTTTTTTCTAGAGATGTGAATGACATACCCACATGTCTTTGTTCCTTTGTCATCGTAAAGCTGTGCATGGCTTACATCCTCATGCAGTGGAGACATTTCATCCTTGGCTCACTAATTTCTGCCTTGAAAATCTTGTCAGTGTTTGGCTTTTGTGCATTTATACCTTAACACTCATTAATCATCTGTTTTAGACAGAAGGTAGTAGAGGGGGTCAGATCACTTCTGGTTACCTAAACCTTTCTTTGTCCCGTTCCAATGGAACACTTGGGCTTGGTGTTAATGTCATGGATTCCAGGAGAGAGGTTTGAGAGGGAGTGGTATAGAAATAAATCTTGGTCAGTCCTAACACTGGGAACCCAAACTGTCAATAATTTGACTTTGTCCTTGATTTCCTCTTTCTGTCTGATAGGCTTTCTGTTTTGGAGCAGAGCTGGAAAGTTAGATCAAGAATAGAACTAGCAAAACTTTGCTCCCATTTGATACTGACTTGAGAAATCCAACCCAGCTTCCGCTGGCAAAGGAAAAACAAGATTTAAAAGGAAGGCAATATTTACCAGCAGTGCAGATGGTCAAATTAGAGCAGTAGGAATGAGTATCCTTGGCTTCCAGCATTCTTTTTGCAAAGAATGATCATTACTGGTGTTACTTAGTAGCCAAGAGTTTGCTGCACAGCCAAGTTAACTAGAGTATTGGTACTAGCTTCCCCTTACATAGAGGTGCAGGTAGAGTTGAATCATCACCCACTGAGAAATCAGCACCCAGGGCCGGGACCACAGTAAGGTGAATGTGATACTCACCCCACCTTCAGTACTCAGCCCAGGCACAAAATTGTAGGCAGTGCCAAAAATCTCAGTAATCAAGATAAAATATTTTAATGCAATATTTTTTCAAATAAAATTAATGCAAAACAATCCATAATGAATAAAATATCACATTTCTGAAGGCCAGTGCCACACTGAGCCATATCAGAGACTGAGACAAAAGGAAGACTTGTACCCCTATATAAAAAAAACAGCAACCCAAACTTGTTGCTATTGAGTCGATTCCAACTCATAGTGACCCTATAGGACAGAGTAGAACTGCCTTATAGGGTTTTCAGGGAGCAGCTGGTGGATTCAAACTGCTGGCTTCTTGGTTAGCAGTCAAGCTCTTAACCATAGTACCAGCAGGGCTCCGTGTACTCCTGTATACATGTTTTATATCTTTTTAAATGGTTAATTTTTTTTCCAGAACAACTAAACTCACTTCATTTCAAGTTTAAGTATTTTATTTTTACCCAAAACAGAATTATCTTAAAAAATTCAGAAATTTTTAACATAAAAAATGATACAAATTTATTTTTTGCTTCAGCTTAAGTTAATTAAAAATTATTTCAGATTGTCACTTGGTCAAGAGAAATTGCCAAACGTGACAGTTCTCTTAGTTAAAAATGAGATGAACAGAGGAGTAGATTCTGAAAATGTTATTGATGAGTTTACTTCCATTAAAGCCAGGGGCATGTAATTTTCCTTTTGACTCAGGCTCCGAGATGGCTCCACTCAGCACTGTCAGTACCTCTTAGTTTGCTGTGTGGTTTGACTTAGAATCCCATCTAGAATAATGGCTGGAAAATGGGAAAAGCAAAACCCAGGGTCAGGCATTAAAACCCAGAGCCATGTTGACCCCATATCTTGATGAAAGGAAGAAACCAACTGCTAATGGTCATTCTGCTTTAGATACAGCTCCCTACAATACAAATCACATATCTCTCCCACCTGAGCTACAGAAAACCTTCAGATAAAGGCGAGTTTCAGTGCAAAGTCTCAGTCAGACCATAGACCAGTTTCCAGTGGTGATTTGTCTCTGGGTCGAGATCGATTTTGTTTTCATGTGGTTGGAATATATTTAAAAATCACTGTGTGTAAGGAACGATTTGCTGGTAGGATTAGCCTGGCTGAACAGTTTAGTAAGGTTGAACATTTGAAATTGAAGAGAAACTCTTGCTTCAGATGAGGGGCTGCTGTAGTCTGGGCACTTCCAAATTAGGATGATTAGCTCTCATGGAGGGGAGGAAGCACAGTGTGCTGTGCCCCAGGGACTCAAGGTCAGGAGAGGACCAGAAGAGCCCTTGGGGGTATGTGTTTCTGTTCCAATGTCTTTATTGCATTGCTCTGCAGCATCTGACAAACTTTCAACATCAACCATGAACTTGCCAAAGCAGACAGAGACTCCCATGAGTAAACGCCTGTCTTCATCCACCGTGACAATACCCTGTTCTCCAGACCGAGGCAAGTGAACTTGTAGACCTGGTCTCTCCGGTTTCTTCTTTCTTGCATGAACCTCTTAACACTGGCCTTTGTGAGAGCCCTCTCTTGCACTGTCTGCAAATACCACCCTGTCCTAAGGCTGTGCTCTGCATGTGGGAGCCCCAGGGCCACATTAGCAGTACCTAGGAAAGAGCCAGCTTGTGGCTGAATAGAGATAGGAATGAAGAGCATTCTTCCAGTCTGCCCAGGAGTTAATTCACCCGTGGGCAGATGTGACCATTAAACAAATAACTGCCTGCTTAGTGATGCTATATGGTTTATTAGCCTGAAAGAGCAGAAACGATAACCCACAGGCCCATCAGAGACGTTGCTATGTAAAGAAACGAGGCCCTGCAGTTGCCCGTAGTTTGCAGGCCTGTCCATTTTTTAGGGGAAAGCAGAGGCTCAGAACCAATACGAGGCCTTTAAAAGGGGAAAAGAATGGACAGCCTTTTCAGGTGCTCTGTTTTGAGGTGTGGGGTGCTGTGTATAGGACTCGTGCCAGTTTGAGAAACTGAATAGAAATGACACCTTCTGTGTTCTAACGCACCTCTCCTAGAGGCTCAGACAAGTCACTAATGTGTACATTTCAGGGTATGTAGGTTAAGGTAGGGAGGAGGGAAACTCCCTACGTGTTCAATGCCTATTTGAAAGCACTGTTTAAGGAACTGCAGGTGCTAGTTTATCATGTCACATCATCACCAAGGGACAAGGAGGAGGATGTTTGTGACTTTGAAGAGGTCATTGTGCCTTCTTGGTTGTGTTTCACTGGGAATGACCTTGCAGTTCCATCACAGAGGCATATCCTGTGTGGCGGAGACCCTGTAAGTGTCATGAAGCTGCTACCGCAGCAGTCCATGTGGAAGCCCAGGAAGCACTGAACTAATCAAGAGCTGGTCTGTTAGCAAGTGTAACCCGTATGTCTTCATTCATTCACGTGGCTACAAATTGATGTTAAATCCATTTTTTGCAATGACTGAAACGTAAAGATGGCGGTATGCTATTGTATGTTGTTGACAGCTGAATTATCTGCTTGTGGAGTATAAACCATTTACTAGTTAGTGGGTCCCCCAAAACTACAAAGTGATTTCTTGGAAAAGTTAATCCCTTGTGATACAATACATTCCAAGACCACAGAAATGACATTTGAATCACTGAATTTTAGATTATGAATACTACTATCTCCATTAAAGCTGATAATCAGGTGGCCGTTTTTTATTTTGTGCTTCTCATTTAATTTTTGCCCTTATTTACATGGATAAAGTATGAAAGAATGCATTTTTATACTGTTGTGAGACTGCATATTTCACTAACCAAATCAGTATGTTATGAACGATTTCTTAACAGAGGACCTAAAACAAGTGTTTTGTAGAAGTAATAGTTTTCAATGGTAGATCTGCTTGGTGGGTAAATGGTTTATCGAGCTCACGTTACGTCTTGGGAGGTGGGCTAATTAGAGTGATCTACAGCCCTGTGCTGTAACAGCACATTTAAGAAATCCCGGCACCCCAAGAGTATTAATGCACATCCCCAAACTCTAAATGACACAGCTTTTGTTTTATTTTACTGTGACGAACTCCAAAGCCACCCTTTGCTAGACTTTCTTTAATTTATTTTCCACATTTGTTCTGCCACGCAAAAGTTAATTTGCACCCCACACTGTGCTGTTTTTAAACGTTTTATTTTGTTTTGATTTAATCTTGCTTTATGTTTTTGTTTGATTCCGCCCCTCAGCTCATCGCATTCACCTTAGTCCCATGGAAACCTTTCTTGTTATGCGACTGTTGACACCCACACAGGCTTCTTTAGCCAGGAGCAGAAGTGCACTCATGCTCTCTGAGCAGCCCAGTGACTCAGGTAAAAGAGGCCAACCTGGTGGCACCAAGGAAAACACCCGAAGTGGTGTTGGTCGGCCTCTGAGTTATTCCTGAATTTTTACATTTCACTTCCCATTTCCTGGCTTTGTGGAATGTCTTCAATAGTTAATAACGCTTTCTATCCACCACTGTTTTACTATTACTCTGCTTCTTTTAAGTATCACCGAGGTAAGTAGATTAATTTATGACTGAGGCATGTGGATGAGAAACAAACAAATCTACTTGGTGAGCTATGGAGGTGAGTAGATTCTTTTTAGAGATGGTTTGGCAAAGTAGCCTGGACACCACAGTCTCTGGAATCCTAAAACCAGCTAGCTCTACCACTAACTAGCTTTGCGACTTTGGGTAAGTTAATGAAGTAAGTAAAATTTTGCTGAAGGTCATTCAAAACAATTGCAGCAGTATATCGACAGGGAACTGCCAGAAGTTCAAGCCAGATTCAGAACAGGATGTGGGACGAGCGATATCATTGCTGATGTCAGATGGATCTTGGCTGAAAGCAGAGAATACCAGAAAGATGTTTACCTGTGCTTTATTGACTATGCAGAGGCATTCAGTTGTGTGGATCACAACAAATTATGGATAACATTGCAAAGAATGGGAATTCCAGAACACTTAATTGTGTTCATGCAAGAACCTGTACATAGACCAAGAGGCATTTGTTCAAACAGAACAAGGGGATACTGTGTGGCTTAAAGTTAGGAAAGGTGTGTGTCAGGGTTGTATCCTTTCACCATACTCATTCATCACCCATGGAGGCAGCAGTTAAGAACTCAAACAACATATTGCATTGGGCAAATCTGCAAAAGACCTCTTCAAAGTATTAAAAAGCAAAGATGTCACTTTGAGGACTAAGGTGCATCTGACCCAAGCCGTGGTATCTTCAGTCACCTCCTATGCATGTGATGAATAAGGAAGACCGAAGAATTGATGCCTTTGAATTACGATGTTGGTGAAGAATATTGACTATACCGTAGGCTGCCAGAAGAACGGACAAACCTGTCTTGGAAGAAGCACAGCCAGAATGCTCCTTAAGAAGCAAGGATGGCAAGACTTCATTTTACGTACTTTGGACATGTTATCAGGAAGGACCAGTCCCTGGAGAAGGACATCATGTTTGGTAAAGTAGAGGGTCAGTGAAAAAGAGGAAGTCCCTCAGCGAGAAGGATTGACACAGTGGCTGCAACAATGGGCTCAAACATAGGAACGTTTGTGAGGATGGTGCAGGACAAGGCAGTGTTACATTCCGTTGTTCATAGGGTCGAAATGAGTTGGAACCAACTCGGCAGCACCTAACAACAACAATAAACTTCTCTAAGCTTCAGTTTCCTCATCTATAAAATGGACTAATTTTCAATTGTCATGAGGTTGAAATGAGATAATGCATGTAAATGAGTTGGCACAATGACTGGCACAGAGCAAGAGCTCAACAAATGTCCACAGCCCTGCTGCCAAAAGTGTGGCGCAAGGACCAGCTGCCTCGGCATCACCTGGGAGCGGGTTAGAAAGTCAGACCCTTAGGCCCCACCAGACCTGCACAGTAACTCTGAGAAACCCTGGACCAGCCCATCAAAGCCCTTCCTTTATCAAAGTGGATCACATCATCGTTCATAGAGGCCAAGATTAATGAGGGTCAGCTTTCTCTTTGTTTGCAGATGAGCAGTGTTGTATCTACATGAGGTCGAGTCTCCTCTCAGTTCCCCAAATAGTGTTTTCTGTGAGATGACATATAAACTGCTGCTTAGTTGTAGCTGCTTGTAAGTAGTTATGCTATTTCTGCAGAGAATATATACAAATGGCCAATAAGCACGTGAAAAGATGCTCAGCATCATTAACCATCAGGGAAATGCAAATCAAAACCACAATGAGATACGACTTTACCCCCACCAAACCTGTTGCCGTCCAGTTGATTCCAACTCATAGCGACCCTATGGGACAGAATAGAAGTGCCCCAGAGGGTTTCCAAGACTGTCATCTTTATGGAAGCAGACTGCCACATCTTTCTCCCGCAGAGCAACTGGTGAGTTTGAACTGCCGACTTTTCGCTTAGCATCTGAGCGCTTAACTACTGCACCACCAGGGCTCCTTTTACCCCAAGTAGGATGGCTAAAGGAGCCCTGGTGTTACATTGGTGAAGCACTCAGCTGCTAACCAAAAGGTTGGCGGATCAAACTCACTAGCCGCTCTGTGGGAGAAAGTGTGGCAGTCTGCTGCTGTAAACATGACAGTATTGGAAACCCTGTCAGGCAGTTCTACGCTGTCCCGTAGGGTCGCTATGAGTCGGAATCAACTGGATGGCAACGGTTAGAATGGCTAAAATAAAGATAGATAATAACAAGTGCTGGAGATAATGTGGACAAATTGGAACCCTCATGCACTGCTGGTGGGAATAAAATTGTGCAGTTGCTTTGGAAAATAATCTAGCAGTTCCTCAAAAAGTTAACCATAGAGTTACCATGTGACCCAGCAATTCCACTCCTGGGTGTATACCCAAGAGAAGTGAAATCATACACCCTCACCAAAACTTGTTCATGAATGTAGCAGCACTATTCCTAATAGCGACAAAGTAGAAACAACTCAAATGTCCATCAGCTGAAGAATAGATAAACAAAATATGGTATATACATACAGTAGAATATTACTCAGCCATAAAGAGAAAGTTCTGATACATGCTACAACATGAATGAACCTTGAAAACATTATTCTAGGTCACAAGAAGCCAGTCACAAAAGATCACATTTTATATAATTCTATTTATATGAAATATCCGGAGTAGACAAACCCATAGAGACAGAAAGCAGGTTAATGGTTGCCAGGGACTGGGAGGCAGCGCGGGGGAGTGGGGAGTGACTGCTAATGAGTATGGAGTTTCTTTTGGGTTGTGGAAAATGTTCTGGAAGTAGTCTGTGGTGACAGTTGCACAACCTGTGAATATACTAAAAACCACTGAATTGTACACTTTAAAAGGGTGAATTCTGTGGTATATAAATTATATCTATAAATTTTTCAAAAAAAAAAACTGTAGGAAGTAGGAAGTATCTCCATTTTGAGAATGAGGAATGTGGCATTCCGTTTGAAGATTCCTGTATCTGCAGTTGTCTCCCAGTCAAAGTCCTGTTCAGTGAACCTGTGCCTGCCTGCCTGCCTTCAGCTCCACAGAGTTTTCACTGAGGCTGAAACAGTTCACAGCAGACAGTCAGCTTTCAGCTTAGAGTCAGGTCCAAGCAGTTAGGATCTGTGAACTCAGGAATCCAAACAAGCCAGCAGCTTTTCTTCGGTAGCAGCAGAGCCAAGATGCTGCAGGGCAGACAGCTGGGTGCCAAGTCCAAGTGACAGGCAAGACTTTCCTAAGCCCTTTTTACCTTGCCAGCCTTAGAATCCAAGCTGACCCGCTCAAAAATATACACACCAAGCCGGAAAATCATCAGCGTCTAAGGATCAGACATCTGATTTCACAAGAGATGAAATCAGATTAGCAACTAAAAACTGCTTTTTAAAACACCAGAAGTCTGTCTCCATCTGAAGGTTGCCTCTCTTTTCGTATCTTTCTTTTCTCAGAGGCTCCAACAGGCAAAAATCATAGTAAAAATCATCAGTTATGGAGACTTGTTCTGCTTCCAGTACTCAGAGTTTCAATTCCAACCCACCCACTGGTGGCAAAAAGCAAGGATTTTGGGTCCCACCCCCACTCGGAGGAGAAAATAAAAACCAAAGGCATCACTGGCTACCCCCACCCCCTGTGGCCAAAAACAGGGTATCCAAGGCCAACTTTTCTGGAGATGGAGCTATCGTTTTCAAATGTCATGAGTTACTTTTACTTCTTACTGCTGTCTCATACCTTGGATGACTCCATAACCTCCTAGGCACCGGTAGTTCATCATCCCCTGCCCCTGCAAACAGTGCTTTCACCATATTTCAGGGAGTCAGGATCCTTCTAGTGATTCCCACTTCTGACACCAACTGTGTTGGGGGTCTCTCATACCACTTCTAGGTTCAGTGGTTGACTAGGAGGACTCACAGGACTCAGTATGTAGTCGCATTCATGACTGTGATTTATTATAGTGAAAGAATACAGACCAAAATCATCAAAGGGAAAAGGCACATGGGGTGAAGTCTAGAGGATACCAGGCACAAGCTCCCAAGAGTCTTCTCTCAATGAAGTCACACAGAATGTGCTTAATTCTCCCAGCAAAGAGTTGTGACAACACATGTGAAATGTATACCAGGAAAGCTCATTAGAGACTCAGTGCCCAGGTTTTTATTGGAGGTTGATCATGTAGACACCCTTGCCTGGAATGTACCCAAATTCCAGATCCCCCAGGAAGAGAGCCGGTGTTCACCATAAACCACATTGTTTACAGTTTAGGCACAATGAGCCACTCTTGTCAGTTTATGGTGGGAACCCTCCCGAAATCGAAGTTCTCAGACACAAGCAACGAGCCAACCTGGCAAGCAGGCCTTCCAGAGGAGAGCAACCAGGCATGCTCTGTTAACTTTTCTGCAAAAGGAAATTGAAGTTTAGAGGGGTTAAGTCACCTAACCAAGGTGATCCAGCTGTTAGATGGCAATGCTAGATGGATCTGGCTCCAAAACCTGGACTTTTAACCCCTGAAAGGAACTTGACTCTTGAGCATTGAGCATGTGGGCCTTTTTAGGATAGGATCCATTCCGTGTATACTGGAAAAAATATAGTATGATTTTGAGAACATAGGTCATCCATACATTTTAATAGAAATGTGATGTTCTTCCCGACTCCCTGTGCTCTTTCTGTCTGTGCTCTCTGTCTCTCTGGCTGTCATACTGTAACTCTCTAGTATTCCATGCCTGTCCTCGTGTAGCTCCTGTTGGCCCTCTCAAATCTTCTTACAAGTCTTCTCCCACTCGAAATGCCGAGAGGAGGAAGACCACATCTACATCTGGCGTAGGAGATTCAGGAAAAGGAGCCCCTGCAGGAGCTGAGGCCCCTCAGGTACGTTTCAGACCCATTCACTCACACCCCTTCTGACTGCGGTTTATCTGACAAATGTGATTCCTTCCTGCCCTTGACTTGGGGTCTGTGTTTTCATCAGTCTCCAGGGACTGCTCAAAGGGCAGATTTGGTTTAAAATTTCACCCAACCTTTGAAAATCATTTATGTTTTTGCACTCTCCGAAATTTTAGTGTCTTGGAGCAAATTCCTAAAGACCTTATCCTTATCCTTATCCAGAGCCAGGAGTCAGAAAGACTGGTCCGAGTGTCCTCTCTCTGCTTCTTTAAGAATGTCTGATTCTGCATCAGTCTTGCCTACGCGGGTAGCTAGAGCTAAGGTTCTTGGTCAGCTCCACAACAGTGGCCTCTAAATTTTCTTGATGGCATAATGATAGCATCGGTAAGACAAGTGTTGAGTAGGTACCCCCAATTCATATATATTTATTTAGAAAATACATATACCACAGGCTGCTTTTATTAACAAATTACCCAAACTGTAGCAGCTTAAAACAACAAGTGTTTATGATCTCACAGGTTCTTTGGGTCGGAAATTGGGATTGGCTTAGCTGGGTAGGTCTGGTACAGGGTCTCTCATGAGGATGTGGGCAAGATACCAGCTGGGGCTTCTGTCATTTGAAAGCTTGACTGGGGCTCTTCCAAGGTAGCTCACTCACATAGCTGTTGGCAGGAGGCCTCAGATCCTCACCATGTGGGGCTCTCCATAGGACTGCTTACCTGTCCAAATGACATAGCAGCTGGCTTCTCCTAGAGGAGGCGGTCCAACAGAGAGAGAGCAAGGAGGAAGCTGCAGTGCTTTTTATGATTTAATCTCAGAAGTTACACACTGTCACTTCCACCATGTGCTTATTCATTAAAAGCAAGTCCTAAAGACCAACCCACACTCAAGGGGAGGGGAATTACCTCCACCTGTTGAAGGGAAGCATATCAAAGAATTCAGGACCTATTTTAAAACCACCACATAATAGTACTATTGGGCATTTTGTAATACTGTATTTATGTTTTAAGTCCTTTGTGGCCATGAGGTTCTCAGATAAGAAGTGATGGTTTCAGACTCTTGGGTTTTGCTGTAGGGTAGATCACTGTGGAAAGGGACTGATGTGCTGGTGTAGGGGTCAAATGAGGATTTGCTGCAGAAAAGTGGGATAACAAGAGAAGGGGACTGACTTTTGTGCAGCACCTACTGTGTGCTAGGCACTTAGGTCCATTCCCTTCTGATTTTTGAGGAAGGAGGTGATGAGGAAGACTTACGGGGATGGGTGGGGTTGGAAGAAGTTATTGGAGTACCCATTATACCATATATACTGTTCTGGGTCCACAGCTCACTGTCTTGGATGTTACAACCACAGCATTTTTACCCTCTTACAATATTTTTGTGCTGATTGCATATCTTTGTGCTCTCTCCAGTTTTGATATGTCCACAGCCATAATATGGTTCTGTCATTAGCTCTTTGCAAGATAACAAGAAGGAGGAAATCTTTATATTTTGAGATGGAAATTATTATTATTATTTTTTACTGATGACCTAAATGTGATGCCCTCATGGTGCTTCCCTGCAAACATTCCCACTGTGTGAAGCACTGTAGCTTTGTGTTGTTCCTCTGAAAGAAAGATGTACATCTATTCCATTTGGGATCCTTTTAGGAATTGTAGAAGCGGTGCCAGTCAGTAGCCTTGGCTACCCTTCCTATATCCTCTTACAGATGGAGAAGTCAAAGAGGGAGCCTCGAACACTAACTTCCATGACCGGCATGGGCCTGGGATCCCCTCTGAGAAAATGTGACTTTCCAACAGGACTTTCTAAGAGATCGTCTTCTCCTGTGACATCCAAGTAAGCATCTTCCCCTTTGTCCAGACAGCCTGATTCAAAGTCCTTTTGGTGGGGATGTGCATGATTCAGCTTTGTGGCTTCTCCTCCAAAAGCCATGGTCACCCAAAGAAAGACAAGGTGGAGAAATGGTGGCGTTTGAGTTGCCTGACTTGTTTATCTGTGTATCTCCTGGAGAAATGATGGGCTGGCCAGGTGTTTGTTGTCTGGTCAATATGGGATGCTTATGTACCGGGTTCGTCCTTTCAGCATTTTCTTTTTAGGTCCTAGAATTCTGTTGTGTTTTTCCAGTATTTTTCTGTCTCCTGCAGCTGCACCCGAACTGAACTTACCACATCGTGCTTGTACTCTCTCTCTATCGCTCACTTGCTCACTGTCATTCTCTTACTCACTGTCTCAGACAGCCAAACCCGTTGCCGTCGAGTCGATTCCGACTCATAGCGACGCTGTAGGTGCCCGTAGGGTTTCCAGGGAGCAGCTGGTGGATTCAAACTGCTCATCTTTTGGTTAGCAGCTGAGCTCTTAACCACTGTGCCACCAGAGCTCCATCTCAAACAGACAGGGAGACAGTAATACCTGAGAGACAATAATAATGAGTCAGCCAGGATCAGCACTATGTTTTTTTGAAGTCAGTCTATTTTTCAGTTACGAATTGTGTAAACTGACCAATGAACTCACGTAACTGGAAAACAAATTTACACTAAGTGTGGGACCACTGTTTTAAATTATTAATGGGGGAATCAGGTGGAAAGGAGGAGTGTGCTGTCACAGTATGGGGAGAGCAATTAGAGTCACATAACAATGTATAAATTTTTGTATGGGAAAAAATTTTTAAAAATTATTAAAATATTTTACTGATAGTAGCTGACAAGAGTGACTCAGTAAATAGCTCAATCCAGCAGTAGAATGAGAACATCTTCAGTAGTACCAATCAAGAGAGAGAGAAAGATGATTTAATGTGGGAAATTAAGTCAGGTTTTATGGAGAGAACAATATAAACCTTGTTTAGTACATGAGTTTGGTTCAGAGAATGTAGGATAAGACATGAATTTAATGAACACTTAAGATTTTCTTTAAAATATTTCAAGGTGACATTAGCTTTAATTTCTGATTTGTTGCTTCTGTCAGAGACCTTTTCACTGTTATTATTTTGTTCTGAGATCACTATCATTTTCTTAGACTAGTAATACCTGTTATTAATGTATCTGTCCCTCATAGGAAAAAAAATTCTTCCATAGGACACTGCTGAATTAATAGCATCTTGTTTTCTAAAGCTCGTTGCATCCTTTATGTGCTAGCATTGCCTGTTTGGGGTTATGGTACTGCTCTTTTGGAACCTCTTTGTATCTATTTGGTGGGCTCTACAATCTCCATTTTTATTTCTCTGTCTTATCTCACAGCCTTTTCAGTTGCCATCCACTTTTTACTTCTGTGGTAGTAACTTGGGACGTTGACATGAACAGAGAGTTAAGCCTAGTTCATACTGGGGTTTTTCCAGATTCCACCCCTCTCTTTTCCTTGATGTTGACTCATAGTCCCTGTATGGATATTAGCTTGCACACTTCATTATTATTATTGTAAATTTCACTGAGATGTACCAGGGGGTTGCTGCCTGCTATAGAGATGAGAGTTAGATTTTGTAAGCAAGCTCACAATTGGCTTCGTGCTACTTCCTTCATGTTGAAAATCTCGAAGAAGATTGTGTTTTTAGAACCATTTTATATTTTAAAGGACACATCATCTGAGTTTTATAAAAGCTTTCCCCGCCCAAAGAGACTTGAACAAAATCCCAGATTTTTTTTTTATGCAGTTCAACTTGGTTTTTGCTTTTTTTTTTTTTGGTATGTTCACTGTATCTAGAGCAGTAATTGGTACCTAAACCAGACCAGTTGCCCTTGAGTCAATTCTGAGTCATGGCGACCCCATGTATGTCGGAGTCGAACTGTGCTCCATAGAGTTTCCATGGCTGTGACCTTTCAGAAGCAAATCACCAGGCCTTTCGTCTGAAGTGCCTCTGAGTGGATTCGAACCTTCAGCCTTTCGGTTAGCAGCTGAGTACATTAACCATTTGTACCACCCAGGGACTCCTAACTAACATATAGTAAGTGCTTAATTAAATGAGCCCTGGTGGCACAATGGTTAAGCGCGCAGCTGCTAAACGAAAAGTTGGCAGTTCAAACTCACCAGCTGCCCCGCAGGAGAAAAGACCTCGCATCTGCTCCCGTAAAGATTATATAGCCTAGAAACCCTATGGGGCAGTTGTATTCTCTCATATAGGGTCGCTATGAGTCAGAATCGACTCAACAACACCTAACAACAACAGGTGCTTAGTAAATATTTTTGGAACGAATGACTGCAAGTCACTGTGCCACATGCTGCAGAGAATGCCAACATGAGTGAGAACAGTCTCCACTTCAGGGAGCCTCACACAAGGAGGGAGGAGAGACATGTGCACAGATGACTGTAGTCCTGGGCCGCAGTCCAAAATCTGCCTACCTTCTCATCCTTCAGGACTCAGCTTCACCACCATCCTCTCCAGAACCATCCAAAGCTGAATCCACCCCTCCTCTGTGCTTGTGTAGCATCACATACATACCTCTATCATTCATTTATTCCACAAATACCTGTTGAGCACCTATTCTGTGTTCCATGCTTTTGTAAGAGCCAGGGATGCAGCGATGAATGAGGCAAAAGTCCCTGCCCTCACGACACTCACACGACAGTGAACAAGCAAATGTATCAGGTGGTGACAAGTGCTCTGAAGAAAAATAAAACTGAATAACGTACAGGGTGGTAGAGGGGAGCTAGGTAGATGAAGTGGTCGAGGGAGGCTTCTCTGAAGAGGTGATGTTTCAGAAGAGATCACGTGAAGCAGGGTACAAGCCAAGTAGCTCTGTGCCTCGTTGTGCTAGATTCTAATTTTACATTCAGTTAGCTGTTTTCCTGCTAGGCTGACTGTCTGAGGGTGGAGACTGAGTATATTGTTGCACAGTAGGTGCCCATATGTATCTGTGGGTTGGAAGCAAGAAGGCAAGGAGATCCTGAAGGGCAGGAGTGGGCTGGGCAGGCAGGTAGAGGAAATGCAGGGACAGAAACTGTCCAAGGATCTGGTTTTTTGCCTCTTCTTGCCTTCTTGGCCATTCATCGGCTTATTCTCCTGGTGATCAGTACCTTCAGTGGCTTCTTTCCTGGGCTGCGTATCTCACTTGGGGAATTTTAAAAGGATGAGGGGTGCTGGCATCTATACTGCACTGCAGGGTATTTCTGCCATTTCAGTCAAAGGAAACTAATGGGCTGGCCTTTCTCATGCGGGTGGGAGAGATAGTCAACTTGAACACACCTGGACTTGTGTACTGTCAACACCTCCAGAATCATCTCTCCTTAAGAGGTGTCCTGGGGATAGAACTTACTTCCAGTGTCTCTAAATCAGTGTTACCAACTTGAGGTTGAAGGAGAAACAAACATTTCTTGATTTTAAAATGTTGAGAATGAAAGATAGTTTTTCCCCAGGTGAAAATTAGTGGTTTAACCACCCTGAGTATGGGCCAGGTCTGAGAGACATGGGAACTCACGTAGACTGTAATAGTAAGTAAATTCTCAAAAGTCAATCACGCTACATGGCGGTGAGAAAGAGTGATCCACAGCCGCCCACCACCACGTGGATGGGTCTCAGGAACATAGCGTTGTGTGGGTAAAGCACGTTGCAGAAGAATGCCAGCATTCCATTTATATTGAATTCCCAGATATGTAAAACTAAACAACATGTTTTTAAAAATGTAAATGTGGTAAAGTAATTTTTAGAAAAAGAAAATGGCACACATAAACCTCAGAGTGGCAGTGGCCTTGGAGTGGGGAGAAAGGGGAATGGGGGGCACATGGGTGATTCTAGCGCATTGATCATTTCTCTCTTTTGCACCAGGTGGTGGGTCCGTGGGCATTTATTGTCTCATTCTTTATACTTTATGTATTTTATAAATATTCTTTTGCATTCTCACTATTGAAGAAAAACAATAAAAGAGAAACTAAATTATTTAATTTTTTTTTGATTATTTGATTTTTAAAATGGTGTCACATACAAAAGAAACCCCAACCCAAGTGGCATTTTTTACATTCTCTCTGTGCAGACCAAGCGTCTGGTTTTTAAAGTGCAGTGGAAATGATTTGGCTTTAAAGGGGGGCTTAGTTAGCCCCTGAGAACTCCCATACAAGAGCCCCAGTGGGTCATGTGATTAATGATCCCTTTTCCTGTGACTGCCTAAGCACTGACCGCGCATTGTTCTCTTTCTTGATCTCAGATAAATTCAGCCACTGTCGGGTGGCTGTGCATGCATATTAATAGCATTGCTGTTTTAAGCATTGGAGTTTATTTTCATTGTTTGCATTGTCGGGTACTTGTGTAGGTTTTAGAAAACTAGCTTCAGCAACACTCTCAAAGATACGGATGGAGCATAGCTTTCTTCTTGTAACCTGGAGAGAAGAAATCAAGTGTGGCCAAGTGGATTAACCAGGCCCATTTCTGCCTCTGAGTGTTGATGCTTCCTGTATTCTGGTTCTTCTGTGTGAAATATTCTCTCATGGTTTTATATTCTTAGAAATATATTCTAAGTCAGCTCGGTCATTATGATGGGTAATGTTTTGGTTATCTATTGTTGCCATAACAAACCACCCCAAAACGTAGTCGCTTAAAACAACAATTTATTATTAATTCTCACAGCTCTGTGGGTAGACTTGGCTCATTGGGCAGGTCTCGCTTGGGGGTCTTTCATGCAGTTGCTCTGTGGGTTGACTTGGGCTCACTGGACAGTTCTTGCTTGGGCTCTTCTATGTGGTTGCAGCTCAGTGTCAGCTGGGGCTATACTTACCTGGGGACTCGATCGAGCTGGAGGTCCAAGATGACCCATTCACATGGCTGGCAGTTGATTTTGGCTGTTCACTGGGAGCACCACTGGGCTCTCAACCAGAGTGCCTACATGTCACATCACTATGTGGCTTAGGCTTCTCAC